AATCTATGCAGAAATAGAAGTACAATGATGTACACCTGAAATTTTTACAATGTTATAAACCAATGTTACTGCAATAAACAAAAAATTAAAAAAAAAAAAAAAAAAGTAACTTGCTTAGTCACACAGCTAGTAAGTGGTCGACCTGACTTAAACCTGGGGCTTTTCTGATTAGTAATTAAAAATAAAAAATTATTTTTTTCCTTGGTTAATATATTTTGAAAATTCCTTATTAATTTCCCAAATGTATACTTTTGTGTGTGTGTGTGAGATGTGGGAGAGCCTCTGGACACACTGAGTTTTTCAACATTCATTTTATTTTAAGGTCTCTAAACATGTACTTAGTTCTCAGAAGTAGCTCTGAAAAGTTTAATTCTTGTAGCTAATTCCCTCTGTAGAGACATGGCTCTTCTAAGGCCATCCACATGACAGAGATAACATGTACAATGGTTCTGAGATGATGCCCCAACTACCACTCATTGTGCAAACGTAATAATAATGTCCTCTGGGAAGTCGGGGTGGCTTCGTGGAACAAGGAATGTCTGTCATGACCACTTTACTCTGCATTGGCCCACGATTTATTGCTGCTTCGAGGCCTACTACTACGAATTTGTTGCTCAACATCCTAGCTCACTTATTAATTTCTCTCAACTTGTCTTCTTCCACCATATAGATAATACTTTAACAGTTGAACACATGCTATTGTAAAGCAAAGTCAAAATAACACCATTTTTGAGTATAAAGAGCTATAAGCATTAATCACTTGAGCGTCTGCTGTACGTATAAATATGCATGATCAATGCATAGATGCTACAGGCATTTAAAAAAAAGACATGTTTCATAAATCTAAGATGCCTTCAATTGTAAGTCACACCATTATTTATACTCCATGGGAAGAGATAATATTGCCAATTAACCCAAGACATGCCATAGGTGCATTCTGATTTCAGAGATGCTAAAATGTGAAAAACTAAAAATGTGCATCTTAAAATCAATCAAATAATGTGTACCTATATTATTATTTCTATTTGCAAAGTCAGTTTCTGATAGAGCATTTCTTTGTTACGATCAAACATTTCTTACTGATGTCCTTGTTCTTGATGAAATGCAATTTTGCGAGTCACCCACTTTTCCTGCCATTCTTCCAGAGTTAGTACTCGGTTTTTCTGTACCTCAGTATCAGGGTACTGTTTGATATCATGTGAAGTTCTTGTACCATCCATAGTTTCATAGACACCTTTGTCTCACAAGCAGATGTCTCCAATGCCTAAATGGAAAATATTTGCAATGTTGTCATTTAAGGTCATTGCAACTCCATTGATGAATGAAATAAAAACCTATTATCCTCAGCAGTATGGCTTTTCAAACATATTTCAACATCCAAGGAAAAGCCATACACAAAATCACTTTTCAGTGAGTCTGATGGTAGAGGCATGCCTCATATTACACATTAGGAAAGATCTTTAAATAAAATGAATTATATCTTAACATTAGGGTAAAAGGGTTTGATTTAAGTTAACAAAAAAAAAAGGACAGGACAAAAAAATAAACAAGCATTCCACACTTTATTACTTTTGTAAGCTTAGAATTTTTTCTAGCATTTCACTTACTCTTTAATTTTAAAAATTTCTCTTAATGTTTACTTATTTTTTATCAATGTTATAATGCACACAATTTAAAACGTTCAACAGAGTTAAGAAAATAGCAGTCCCCATTCCCAGTGAGAGAGGCAACCATCTTTAACTCCTTTTGCTGAGTCTTAAAATCTAACTCTATATCTCAAAGTAGAGGGCCGGCCCCGTGGCTTAGCGGTTAAGTGCTCGCACTCCGCTGCTGGTGGCCCGGGTTCGGATCCTGGGCGCGCACCAATGCACCGC